AATTTCCTTTTATGTCTAGCAGTCTGAATCAGATTAGCTACTCTAGAAATATTTTTGGAATCAAATTGAATGAGAAAACACTAAGATAACAGTACAAAATTTATCAAAAAGCATTTTATTCTTAAAAATATTTATTTTATTTATGCATAGAAGAAGAACTGAGGTATGGGCCTAAAGTGTGGCAGTTGAGAAGATTTACCAGAGACCAAGTGAGCAGCAGATCAGGCAGATTTACTGAAATACCCTGCTAAGGGAAGCAGCAGGCGAGACAGGAGAGGTCTGTTGAGCCATATGAGGGTCAGTGCCCTGTCCAGGGATGGAATCAGTGATAGTGCTGAAACTTAACCCCTATGCCATCAGGGAGGCTCCCAAAAAGCATTTTAAAAAAGATAGGAAACAGAAAGTTCACAGATCTGTGAAAAATGTTTCACATCATAGTAATGAAAGAACCAAAAATATCATTTTAATATAAAAAGACATATTAAAATAATTACAATACTCAAAGCTGCAAGAGTACAGACAGATGCTCTCTTAGCTAGTTCATGGGAGTATATGATGATGTGCATATACCTAAGTTAAAATGTTTCTTTGGCAGCATGAGTTGAATCCTGAGAGTATGGTATCCTCTGACAGTGACAACCAGTACAATTTCAGTTCTAAGATTATGCCAAAATATAACTAAAGAAAGGTGAATTATTTAAACTGTTCATTAATTATGAAATAACATAACATATTAAAAACAACAAAATGAGTAATAATGAGATAATGGTTAAACACACTAGGACATCTATAACACAAGTTACACACATGAAATATGAGATTTTCAAAGAATTAATAAAAACCACAGGAAAATGTTGATGACTCAAATTTTAAGTAAAATAGCAGCATACAGAACAGTACAAAGTACATGCCATTATATATGTGCATATATATATATATATATATATATATATGTATATATACGTGGCATATGAGAGTTGCAGCAGACTGGCAGATAGCAAATATGATTGATGTTGAAAGATGGGGTTCTACATCAGTTCTTTAAATCAAAGTTTGCTAAACTTTCTTTACTTCAATACTGGAAAAAATTAAAAATATTTCTATTAACACTTACCAGATCAATATTTTGCATGATATCCTGAAATGAAGGATGAGTTCGAAATTGTTCGAAGAGATCTCGTTTGTAAAGCAGTGCATACACCAAGTTTGGATTGTGGTGAAGAGAATTTGTTAGGCAGGAATTGATGATCTCTAACATCATTCGAATCACTTCTTCAATGACATTTAGGTCTTGTGCCTGACAAAGAAAGAGAACCCCCACACAGATCAAGTCAGTGTCTGTCTCCTTAATGGCATTTATTAGAATAAAAGTAACTACTTTAAAATTATAATAACTGAGATGATTGAGCAAAAGTTCTTAGAAAAGAATCTGTTACTTACCCAGTCTCTCATGCAATAGGTTTTTATTTGTATTCTCATCACTTTACTATCCTAAATCACTAGATTTATATGGTATAAAGTGGTGGTAAGGCTTTATCAATTCCAAGAAACATACCTAATTCAGAATATGACCTCACTTCTGTAGAAAGTCATCTCAATCTTTATATTTACAGATATTGTATTATTTTGTCTTTCTTTAAAGTCAACAGTCTTGGAGAAGCTGAACATGAAATAGTAATAAGACAGCAATACTCAAAGTAAACAATCAACCGATGTCTTGGGAAGAAAGAATGGAAAAGAATAAAAATATAGGTAAACACAATAAACTTTCTCTCTTCTCTTGAGTTTTTATAAATTATAACAGAAAGTTTAAAGTTCAAACAACATTGTCTGTTTCAGCATACATAAGTCTATGTATGTCTACCATTGTCTGAAGTGGTTGTGAATGTACATACAGGAATATCTAAGATGAGGCAGGCAAGAAATTTAAAGGAGAAAATCTCACCTGAGCTGGTAAAATGTCAATACTACTAGATTATGACAAATTATATGTGTAAAATATCTGGGGGGAAAATGTACGCAAAGAGGTATACACAAAGTATTACCTATATATCAAAATGGAATTCCAAAATAATGTTCCTGCATCTACAGAAAGACAGGAAAACAAAACAGATGAAAAACAGGGAGCAAATAGAAAACAGGAAGTAAAATGGCAGACTTGGGCCCTAATATCAGTAATTATATTAATTACAAATGGTCAAAATTCATGAATTAAAACCCAAAGATTGGCAAAATAAATTAAAAAGAAAGAATGGCCCAACTCTGTTATCTACAAAAAAAATTCAAATGTAATTCACTTCAAAGATAGGCTGAAACTAAAGGTATAAAAAATGATTTATCATGTTAGTAATAATCAAAGGAAAACAGAAGCGACTACACTAATCTGATAAAGTATACTTCATATAGTGTAAAGCCTGCAAAGTAAAAAATACTATATAGTCCTTTACAGAAAAAGCTTACTACTATGTCTAGCACTCAATCAAAATTTATGAAACAAACAGAAAAGTAAGCTAAAACAATCCGTGTTTATGAAACAAAGTATTGGTAGAACTGGGTTCAGAGACACACAGATATTGAAAATATCACACAGAATTTAAAACAATCACGATCTATGAAATCACAACTATAAGAAAGTGACAAATTGCATGTGTTTTTTGTTGTTGTTGTTTGTTTTTAATGGTAACACTAATGAAGAATGGCTGAATGGGTTCAACAACAGATTTAACAATGACAAGAGTCTTGAAGAAATAATGACTGAACATTTTCCAAAAATAACAAAAGAATCAAATGACAGAACCAAGAAAGTTCAAAGGATACACTCAATGTCTGCCCTAAACAAAATCATAAAACAAAAAATCACACAGAGAAACATCATATTCAAACTATTGAAAACCAAAGGGAAAGAGAAAATAATCTTGAAGGCAGTCAGAAGAAAAAAACACTAAATGTAATGGCAAAAAGTTAAGAGGTTTACTTTCAGCATGATGAAAGTGTTGAAATATAAACAGAGTCAACCAAAAATTCTATAACTAGTAAAAACATCTTTCAAATATGAAGGTTAAATAAAGACTTCTTGAGAATAAAGTAAATTGAGATAATGTATTACCTATTTACCTCTACTGTAAGAAATATGAAATTTCTTCAGGCAGAAGGAATGTGAAACCAGATGATTGTAGAACTATAGATAACTTTCCACAGTTACCTATAAAGACATTTTTCTTATTTTAGTCACTCTAAAAGAAAACCGATTTCAAGAGCAAAATCATAGCCATGTATTGTGGGTTTATAATATATGTACAGTGTATTGCAATATTCTCCCACTAATGGGCACCAAATTTATTTTTACTTTCCTGGTTTCTATAAAGAAGGCTACAGAGGCCTAATAGAGCTGGTCTTATATTTGGGTACTTTCATTTCTCTGGGACAGATTCCAGGAAATGAACTGCTGAAAAGGTTATATTTGCAATGTTAATAAATGTTGCCAGATCACTGCTTAAAGAGCAATGACCTAACATTTATACTGACAATGAAGTATAAAGCCCTTATCCTCATATTCTTACTAATAAATACCAATGGTTTTGTTCACTGCCTGTAAGATTCATCACTTCTGGATAGTTATGTTGAAATTTCTTATAATGATTGAAGACTTGCCAATTCCTCCAAGTGACTCGCATATTCAAAATGACCACTGGTTGACAAGTATCATCTTTTTACAAAGACCTTTTAACATTATGTATTACTTCTTCTTATCCAGTCTGTTATATTCAAATGTATGTGTATTTACTGATACCAACATTGCTGGAATACCTTCCTTTTGTTAAGCATCTGCCAGCTATATTTTTCTCCAGCCTTTTCAAACTTTTCATGTTTACTAAAACATACATAGTTAAAAGCAACTATATGACTTGGTTTTATAATTTTAAAATCTAATCTGAGAGTCTCCGGTTTGAAGTGAGTTTAATATACTTTCTTTTATTGTTATTAATGATGTGATTGTAATTTACTCCTATACCCTTATTTTACTTCTATTTATCTGTTATCACTTGCTTACTTACACTAGAGCTTAATTGATTAGAAAAGCAATTATCATTTTGCTTTGCTAGACAATTTGGGCTGGGTTTGATGTGGACAACTTGTCTCTGCTCCACCTGGTTTCACATGAGGCTGCTTAACTGGGGGCTGAAGGGTGGTGCTGGCAGTGAGGCAAGGTTGAGGGCCAGGGTCTTTGATTCTCCTGCACATGCTTCCTTTTGGGCTGCATGACTTTTCCCACAGCATGAAGTCTCCAAGAGATCTAATTCTGGAAATACTACTTGGTATCACTACTAATACTCTTGAGGCAGGGCAAAGCTCTGGAAAAATATGTGGACAGGCTATGCTATAGAGGGTCATCTTTGGAAAATAGCATTGGTTACATTTCTATTTACTATCTTTTGTTTATTGTTCACCTCTTCCAACACAGTCTTCCCTTGCCAGCTTCTGCTGAATTAATGATTTTCACTACCCTGGCACCTCCCATCCATCAGCAGGTTTGTAGACTAAATAGGTATTTCTACTCTTATAAAGTAGTTCTTAAAATTTTAACACATGCCCAACTTTAAAAATACTGCTATCCAGGGCCGCCCCAGTGGCCTATGGGTTAGGTCTCAGCACCATTAGTGTAAGGCCTAAGTTCCGTTCCCAGCCAGGGAGGAGACCCACATATGGCACAGCAGACCTCTCCTGTCTCACCCGCTGCTCCCCTGAGCAGTGTATACCAGTAAATCTGTGTTCTGCTCCCTACTCTGTCTCTGGCAAATCCCACACCTCTGGCCTCTACCCTAGTTCTTGTATGCATAATCTTAAAAAAAAATAAAATAAAATAGTGCTATCCCTTTAAAAAAAAAAATAGTGCTGTCCATCTCCTGCACAAGACCCACAGAGGTTAACATACTTTCAACTCTACCTTGAACAGCAATCCCAACTGTTCCCTAATCCCAACCTTCTTTGGCTTTTGATTTTATCTTTAAAAACTGGTTTTCTTAAAGTCAATGGTTAACTAAATGTATGTATTAATTTCAGCCCACAACACTGATTGTTCCATTCCATTTGTCTGTGGGTCCCCTTCTACCTGAAAGGGATTCTTTAGTAGTGTTATTAGTACAGTTCTGGGTAATAAACTCTTTTGGTCCCTGAACAGTTCAAGTGTCTTTATTTTGCATTCAATCTTACATCAAATTTTACCTGGGTATAGAATTCTAATTATTCTCTCTTCTGCACTTTAAGATATGGGTTATTTTATTCTAGCATCTATTTTTGCCACTGAGAATTTTATTGTAAACGTAACTTGTTCCCTGGTAGGTAATCTGCCTTTTCTTTGATAGATTTAAAGATTTGCTCTTCCCGATCTTCAGTTTGACAAACATGTGTCGAGGTATTCACTCACCTGTTTTTAACCTGCTCAGTATTCACAGTATACTTTGGGTCTGAAAACCTAGTCTTACTCGTAAAGATAATTTGGGCAATTTTTCCTCCTCTTCTAATTTACTAACATTCTTTGATAGTGCACAGTTCAGAATTTGTTTTATGTGCTAAACTTCCAATCTTAAGATCTATATTTTTTAAGAACTTTATTTTTCATTTTAAGCTTTATAATTAACTAGTTCTCTTGCATGTCCATGTTTCACTTCTCCCTATTTTTATATCAAATTATTCTTCTTCTTTACAAATATTATTCTTTCAATTACCTTTGAAGATATTAAAAATACTTTTTTTAACTGTTTGGATAAACTTAACTAAATAGCGACCATGACCATGGTGTTTGTCTTCCTCAATATTAAGTTGGTTACTGCATGTGTTTTGGAATTCTGATGCAGGCACATCTAATGTGATTTAATCTACAGGCCATGTGGCTGCTTCCTAGAGTTCTTAGCCTGAAACCAGTGTCCTAGTCGGTAACTCAGCCGCTGCCCGACGTAGATCACACCAAAGACAGCATGGGCAGGGGCTGTCCCCGAGCCAGTATCCGTGGCCCAGAATCCCAATGAGAGGCTGTTTCAGTGTGTCCCCCACACCTCCTAGACTGAGACTTTGAGTCTTTATTAGCACCTTTCTTGTGCTTTTTTCAAACAGACATCTAGTCCAGCCCCCAGCTGCTGCGGGTTGGCGCTGGCGTGCTGTCCTCACTCAGGGCCCCAGGAGCAGGGCACCCACAACAGCTGAGCCCCTCTTGGCTCCTGCCTTCTCTTCAGACCTGAAGCTCAGCAGGGTTGCGGCTTCAGATCCTGCTGTCTGCTTCTGCAGCTTTTTCTGTTTTCC